TTCATCTTATATTCAATTTTTCAGGAAGTAGTGCCAAAGCGAATAATTCAGATGGAAGAAGCCATACAAAAACGTGATTTTGCAACTTTCACTCATTTGACTTGTGCAGACAGCAATCAGTTTCATGCAGTCTGCCTGGATACTGTCAATTTTCTGCTGAATGTCTCTCAAAGTGAGAGTCTTTCCTTTATATAGAGAAAATAAAGATTACACATCCCTAAAGATCCGCCGTTCCTATCCCTAAAGATCAGCTAATCTATCTCTACAAATCTGCTATTCAATCCCTCTAAATCTACCTTGCTACCCCTCCAAATCAGCTATTCTATCACAATATTTATTCCTTTGATTCTACAACAAATGTATATGGTCATGCTAATTTATATCACTATATAATTACATTAATATATACAATCATTTAGTTGTCCATCATGCTAACAGATACTAGCCCTCCTATATTCTACATGAATGACACATCTCATAGGCAAGTTCTCTTAACTTCAAGTTACTAACATGAAGTGTACGGAAATTCTTATTCTTAATACAAGTACTGAACTTGATGATTGCTTACTAATGTCGAGAATAGGAAAAATAAGTCCTGATGGTGTGTTTGATTTTCAGGATAATCAGTTGTGTTGAGAAATGGAACCGTTCAGAAGGAACTCCACAGGTTTTTTACTTTACCACAACCTTTTGCTAATGCATACTTGCATGATTTTGTTTGTCACACCCCTATTTTTCACCACCCCTCTTTCGGAGGTAAGTATTAAGAATGCCCAAGAAATCTGTCGTAGAATTCAATGCTTGAGCTAGAATTTTGGATATTAGACATTTGAAAGAGAATAGTGATTATCCTTCTGAACTGGAATTTTTTGTTTCATTTTTTAAATATGTATTGCATCTCTCTCCTCATATCCGTCTACCTTCCTATTTGAAGAGTCTGCAAACTTGGATTATATTCCAACTGAACTCCCCCTGGTCTTGAGCCTGTTTTACGGTTACTACTTTCCGGTTACTTCATAATATCTGTTACCACTGAGATCTTGACTCCATATCAAGTGAAGCAAGAAAATCTATCCGTTTCAAGCCTTTTCTCGATTCTGATTGACAATTTGAAGTGTTTGACTAAGAACTATTGGGGTCTGGAAAATCTAATGTCATGCTATTTGACTTCTAAAGTAGAGCATAACAAATGTTGCCAGGTTGCATACACTTTCGACGCAGGGCCAAATGCAGTCCTAATTGCACGTAACAGAACATCCACTTCACTTCTGCTTCAGAGGCTGCTTTTCCACTTCCCTCCAAATTCAGAAACTGATCTAAACAGGTACATTCACTATCAAAAGTTTCCAATTTTTTCCATAGGATGAATTGTTCTAGACCATATGGTATTGATCGGTGATCATACTAACTGCTTCTTCCTCTATCCAGCTACGTCATCGGTGATAAATCATTAATGGAGGATATTGGAATTCAGGATATAAAGGACATTGAAGCGTTGCCTCCGCCTCCAGAAATCAAAGGCAAAGTTCCAGCTCAGAAATACAAAGGTGAAATCAGCTACTTCATCTGCACACGACCTGGTAGAGGTCCGGTTTTGATAAGTGGCGACAGCCAAGCTCTCCTCCACCCTGATTCTGGGTTGCCCAAGTAAGCGGCGGCCTTTTGTTTACATAGTCTCGAGTTCTAGGTATTACAGCCCTTGAGAAAAAAAGATTGGAGGCTGCCATTTTCAAAATGGTTATAGTTCAGATGAACTTTGAATTCAAAAGTTATTTGTAGTTTAGTTTTCCTGTATTATTCCTCAGCGGGAACCCTTGTGTACTTGTTTCTATAATAAGAGTCCTCAATTTTGCTTGATCTTCTCATTTTTTTCGGGTTAATTTCACGTAAACATATTGGAAGAATGGCCTGAAATACCCAAGGCCAAAAGCACCATGAACATGGCAACTATATATTTTTTGGTGTTTTTTCTTCTTTTTGATCCGGTGTCCTGTATCGTATTGGAGCCCGACTAATCTGATTCACGCCGCATAGGGCTTCATTCGGGGGAAGGTTTTCTACTAAAGATTTTTTCATATCTAAGGCTCAAATCTAAGACTTTTGGTTGAGGGAAGAGCAACTCCAAATATCACATCCTTAGGTGGTACAATAAGTTATTAATTCCTAAGCAAATGGACTTCATTTATAGAACTTTAACTCTTACGGCTCATTTGGCTACAAGGATACGAGAAATATCACATCCTTAGGTGGTACAATAAGTTATTAATTCCTAAGCAAATGGACTTCATTTATAGAACTTTAACTCTTACGGCTCATTTGGCTACAAGGATACGAGAAATATCACTATCCTTAGGTGGTACAATAAGTTATTAATTCCTAAGCAAATGGACTTCATTTATAGAACTTTAACTCTTACGGCTCATTTGGCTACAAGGATACGAGATGATACTTTTGGAATAATATATGGGATTATTTTATTCCGAGTTTGATTGAACTTTTCTAGATGTTACTTAAACTACATGATAAAAAGAAGGAATTAGCAATGGACAACTTCTCTCTCGCTAATTATATAAATTCATCGGTAATACTACTTAACGATGGATTATCAAAAAATATTATTACTTACGAGTTACTTAATGATGGATTATCAAAAAATATTGTTACTTACGAGTTACTTAACAATCGATTATCAAAAAATATTGTTACTTGCGAGTTACTTAACGATCGGTTAGAGACACATTTCGTAGCTAATTCCTACTTCATCTTCTTTTTTTGGTAGTGCCCTTATTTGAAGCTTTCTCCTAAAAGTCTTCTAAGAAACCCTATGGTTAAAGTCATTTTTCCTAATATTTATTGAACACGAGAGATGACTCTTCAGGAAAAAAAAAAATTCACGAATAAATGTGTGTTCAATTTAAAACCTCTATATATTACAAACTAACTCAACCACTACCTTCTATTATAATTTCTATATAAGTTGAGAAGTTGAAATATACATTCCTTTTCCAAAAAAAATGTGAGGTTCTCCATCATAGTTAGCTAATAGGTCTCCTAAATTGATGTTGATGAGTTGTGCATTTTGTTGTGATGTTAGACTATTCTTGTGGTACCACTTCAATTGGTATTTTTCAAGAAAAACGTCTGAGCTAAGAAATGCAGTGTTTTACTAAGATTTCGAATAGCGGTCCATACTACATCTTACTACAGCTGGTAAGAAAATGAATGTAAGGCACATGCAAGTCAATTCAATTCCTAAGATAGAGTCCGGAGCCTAAAGGGCAAAAAAAAAATTGACAAAAATTTCAAAAGGGCACATCATAATTTTTTTCTAACCAAAAGGGCAAAATCGCTATTGACGTAGCGATTTTGTTTGACGCCGTTAACAGATCAAAATCGCTGCCCTGTCAGCAATTTTGTCCAACTTTTTTTTTTTTTTCAGAAAATCGCTGCCCGTGCAGCGTTTTTTCGATTTTTTTTTAAAAAATAAATTAAAATCGCTGCTATGGCAGCGTTTTTATAAGAACAAATTTATTTTATTTTTTCGGAAATGGCTGCCTTGGCAGCGATTTTCGTTAATGTTTTTTTTTTAAATCACTGCTGTTGCAGCGTTATTATAAATTATGTGGAAATTTTTAATTTTTTTTTAGAAATCCTGCCCTGGTAGTAATTTTGGTGGAACTAATTTTTTTTTAAAAAAAAAACAAGGAAGTGATTTTGGTAGAATTTTTTTTTCTTTGAAATTTCTGTCAACTAGTCAACATCGAAATTTTATTTTTTTTAAGAAAATTGCTGCCCGTGCAGCGTTTTTGTGAATTTTTTTTAAAAAAAATAATTAAAATTGCTGCTATGATAGCGTTTTTATAAAAATATATTATTTTAATTTTTTTTGAAAATTGAGATTCTCCTCTTTATTTTCAACATTTGCAGGAAGTTTCTTTTCCTTTTAAGTTATGTCAAATCAATACTTTTTAAGTTAGGTCAAATCAATTATATAATTATAATATAAATATAGTGTACTTACAAAATATTAAATTATCTTTTTACTTTTTAACTCACTTGAAAAATTAGTTTAATCAATATATTTAAAATGCAACAAGACAGATTAAATTCATGTCAACAAGTATTTAAAAACGATATATTATAATATTAAAAAATATATATTCTACCAAAATCGCTGCCTTGGCAGAGATTTTTTTTTTAAAAAAATAATAGTTCCACCAAAATCGCTGCCAAGGCAGCGATTTCTAAAAACAAAAAAAAAAATTCCACAAAATTTATAATAACGCTGCAACAGCAGCGATTTAAAAAAAAAAACAAATTTGTTCTTATAAAAACGCTGCACGGGCAGCGATTTTCTGGAAAAAAAAAAAAAAGTTGGACAAAATCGCTGACAGGGCAGCGATTTTGATCTGTTAACGGCGTCAAACAAAATCGCTACGTCAGTAGCAATTTTGCCTTTTTGGTTAGAAAAAAATTTGATGTTCCCTTTTGGAATTTTTGTCAAATTTTTTTGCCCTTTAGGCTCCGGACTCTCCTAAGATAGGCCACACGACATGCCATAAAGAAAGTTCTATATGAAAAATCAGTTCAGATTAGTCGCGGTCCAATACTGATACTAGGCACCGAGTTAGAAGCAAAAAAAAAAAAAAGTAGTGTGAACTAATCAAGGGAAGTGGACAGATTCTTTTTTTCCTTTTGCTACTTATATTCCTCCTTTTAATGTGTTTTCACACTAATAGCCTTTTTCCCTTTTGCTACTTATTTTCCCATTGACTTTGATTCTGCACCATATAAATATATACTCTTTTTCTTCTTTCTTAATAATGCAAGTTTACCGACTTTACATTATAGTCATACATTTGTTTAAATTTCATGTCGTGTCGAGTCAAACTATGTCAGATAAATCAAAACAGAGATACAAGACGACAACTTTTCGTCTATTTGTGAAATAATTCAAGTGGAGTCATTCATTTTCTTTTTTTCCAATATATATCCTTTTTCCATTTCTCTTCATAGTAGTATGTTTCAAGTGCATAGTAACATCATGGAGAAACACATTTTCTTATTGATACTTGCTATCTTAGTTCAATTTTACTTTGTTTCTTCTATATCAGCTACTATTTTCTCAAATGAGACTGATCAAGAAGCTCTATTAGCTTTTCGAAATCTTGTTACGAGTGATTCTAGTCAATTTTTAGCCAATAATTGGACCAAAAATACTTCATTTTGCTCTTGGTTTGGTGTCACTTGTAGTCCAAAAAGGCAAAGGGTTGTAGCCTTGACTCTTCCTAATTTGCAACTTCAAGGCACAATTTCGCCTTCTTTGGCCAATCTATCCTTTCTCATAGAGCTAAATCTCACGAACAACAACTTCCATGGTAACATCCCTTATGGCATTGGCCACTTGCCTCGTTTACGAGTGATTGATATTCAGAACAACCAGCTCCAAGGTAGTATTCCAACAAGTCTATTTCAACACCGGAGTGTTCAAATCATTTCATTGGCTTTCAATAAACTCGGTGGTGAAATGTGGAACGGTACATGGTATGTACCGGAACTCAGAGTCTTAAATCTCAGGAACAATACCATCACAGGTAGAATCCCTCCTTCTATTGGAAATGCCACAAAGTTGATGAACATCAGTTTGAATTGGAATAGAATCAACGGCAACATTCCAATGGAGATCGGTAATCTAAGCCAACTTGTAGAGTTGTCGTTGTCTCGTAATCAATTAACAGGTTCCATTCCTTCAACATTGTTTAATATCTCCTCCCTTCTCGTCGTGTCTCTGGCATACAATAGCCTTTCAGGTCCTCTGTTTCTTGATGATCGACGTAATGTTCTTTCATCAAACCTCGAGCATATAGGTGTATCATACAATCAAATCACTGGTCACATTTCTTCCAACATCTGCCAATTCAAAGCTCTCAAAGTCTTGTCCATATCATACAACAACATAACTGGAGAAATACCGAGAAATATTGGTTGTTTAGCCAAGCTCGAAGAGCTTTATATCGGTTATAATGCAATAGATGGAACAATTCCTACTTCATTAGGCAATATTTCCACTCTTCAAAAACTTCATTGTGGAAACAATCACATGGAGGGAGAACTTCCTCCGGAATTAGGAAAGCTATCAAACTTAAGACAAATCAATTTCGAAGAAAATTATAATCTTATAGGTGAAATTCCAAATGCTATTTTCAACATATCTTCTTTGGAATTCATTGCTTTCACTTTCAACTACCTCTCAGGTAGAATTCCAAATCTTCTTCATCTTCCAAACCTTATACAACTTCTCTTAGCAAACAATCAGCTCGAAGGTGAAATTCCTCGGTACATCACAAATGCTACCAATCTTGAGCTATTGGAACTATCAGATAACCTTCTCACAGGCAGTATTCCTTATGATTTAGGAAATCTTCGCGAGCTGCAAGAACTTTTCCTACATCATAATCAACTTACTGAGTTGGGATTCTTTGATTCTTTGGTGAAATGTAGGATGTTGAGATATGTACAAGTGGGATCGAATCCGTTGAATGGTGTTCTGCCAAGTAGTATTGGCAATCTTTCATCTACTGTTGAATACTTTCATATTGGAGATGCACAAATCAATGGATTCATTCCCACTAGTACAGGCAACATGAGTGGTCTTACAACGCTAGTTCTTCAAGATAACAATTTGACAGGAAACATTCCTCGTGAGATCGGTAAGCTTAAACAACTCCAAGGTTTATTTCTAGTTAACAATGAACTGCAGGGGGATATAGCAGAGGTAGTATGTGATTTATCGAATTTGGTTCGATTAGCTCTGTCTGAAAATGAGCTCTCGGGGGTGATTCCGGAATGTCTAGGAAGTCTTACCATGCTACAACACCTTTTTTTAGGTTCTAACAAGTTTGAATCAAAGCTTCCTTTAAGCTTTTGGAAGATGAGTAGTCTTCTCTATGTAAACATGTCGCGTAATTCTATAGAGGGAGAAGTTCCATCAGATATCGGAGAACTTAAAGCTATTGTAGCAATTGAAATCTCTGGTAACCACTTTTCGGGGATGATACCAAGCAATTTGGGGGAACTTCAAAACTTGAAGTTACTTTCCTTATCGAACAATTCGTTTTCAGGTCCAATTCCATTATCCTTTTCAAACTTGAAAAGCTTGGAATTCTTGGATTTGTCTTTGAATAACTTGTCAGGTACTATTCCTAAGTCTTTCGAAAAGCTTTTGTACCTTACAAGCATCAACGTCTCGTTTAATGTTTTAGAAGGTGAAATACCTAGTGGTGGTGTGTTTGCAAACTCCACCCTGCAATCATTTCGCGGGAACAAAGGTCTATGTGGAAGGCAAATATTGGAGGTTCCTGCTTGTGCTGTCACTACTCCTGAACAACAACAACCAAAATCGAAGAGGCTTGTGCTAAAAATTGTCACTCCGGTGGTTATTTCATTCTTTCTGATATTCTTGTTGGTTGTCTCAATTTGGATAATGAAACGAAAGAAGAAAGGAAAGTCCAAAGATATTGAAAAGGTTCCGGAGATGAGGACTTATCAATTGATTTCTTATCATGAGATTCAACGAGCAACAAACAATTTTGATGAATCCAATTTGATTGGCGTGGGAGGTTCTGGCTCTGTGTACAAAGCCACATTACCTAGTGGAATTGTGGTTGCAATAAAGGTACTGGATTTGGAAAATGAGGAAGTATGCAAAAGGTTTGATACTGAATGTGAAGTGGTGAGAAATGTTAGACACAGAAATCTTGTTTCGGTGATCACTACGTGTTCTAGTGATCACATAAGAGCCTTCGTTCTGCAATATATGCCCAACGGAAGTCTTGACAATTGGTTGTACAAAGAAGATCGCCACTTAAACCTTCGTCAAAGAGTCACCATAATGCTTGATGTAGCTATGGCAATTGAATATCTACATCATGGTAATGACACCCCTATAGTTCATTGTGACCTCAAGCCAGCCAACGTTCTTTTGGATGAAGATATGGTGGCGCGTGTTGGTGATTTTGGCATCTCAAAGATTTTAGCTGTAAGCAAGTCTATGGCACATACAAAGACATTAGGCACTCTTGGATATATTGCACCAGGTATACTACTATACTAGTCTCTTTCCATTTCACTTATGTATCGAAGACCTTTCATTATTGTTACATCGGATGAGTAATGCTTTTTTCATTTTCATTCTTTTAAGAATATGGCTCGGAGGGAATAGTGTCCACTCGTGGTGATGTTTACAGTTATGGCATCATGTTGATGGAGGTTTTGGCAAAAAGAAGGCCAACAGGTGAAGAGATATTCAACGAAAATCTTGGTTTGAGGGAGTGGATAACGCGAGCATTTCCAAGAACTATGATGGAAGTTGTGGACGCGGATATTTTTCATGATGGAGAAAAAATCACTTCCAAAAGTGAACTCTGCATACTTTCCATGATAGAACTGGCTTTAGATTGCACAAAGGCAACACCAGAATCAAGGATAACCATGAAAGATGTAGTCAAGAGGCTTAACAAAATTAAGAACACATTTTTGGAAACGTAGAAGTTAGTTAGAATCTCTTTTAATGTTGTTTTTTCTTACAAGTTGTAAGTTGATACTCAATCTGTTTGTCATACTTTTTAGTCCGTTTTAAAAAGAATGCCTCTTTTCTTTTTTGGGAACTCTTAAATTCTAACTTTCTACATGTGTATGACATGTTTAAGACCACGAGATTAAATGATAGTATTACTCTTCTACTTACAATGATATCACCGTTCTTTCTCATCATATACCTATTTTATGATGCATTTAGTTAAGTTCGATCATCATGTTCAAGATCCTAATATGTAGACAAAAAAATGAGTAGACTTATTTTTTCAAAGCCACGTGACATTTTTTTAATTCAATAAATAGGTTTCCCTCAGCAAAATGGGAAAATGTGCTCTATTTGTTAGACGATGAGGGTATATATGAACTCTGTCCAAATTATAGACTAATAGCTCTACCTTCTCCAAATTCCACAAAGGCAAATATTTAACAAACAATAATACAACTAGAATATTTTTATTATAACATGGCAATAACCTTAACAACTTTTTCCAATTGACTCAATTGATGAACAATATTGTAGTTTGAATTACATGAACAACAACAATAATAATACATCCAGTATAGTCTTACAAGTCGAGTCTTGGAAAGGTCGGGTCTGAGGAAGGTGAGGTGCACACAGACCTTACCCCTACCTTTATAGGGTAGAGAAGTTGTTTCCGATAATTATTTTTCAAGTGTTAGCTCAATAGTAAATTCTTTTCCAATAAGAACTGATAGATCTCTCATCTCCAAAACACCAAATGCACTTTTATCATTTTTTGTTCTAATTTTAGTAGTCAAATTATATGCATTTATTTTACTCACCCCTTTTTTCAGTCCAAGAAAAGTCACTTTGTGTATTGTCCAATTCTTACTCAAAGCAAACTCTTCATTCACAACATTTGATCTTAAATATAACTTCTTATTCACAACATTAGTGTGAAATTTCACTAGGCACCATTTTCCTCCCTCTCCTCCCATTTCAACGTCTTCGCCATCGTCCAAGAAGACTTCCCCTGAACTATTTCCCCTGTTGTTGATGGCGACAACAAGTTCAAACGGAGTATCCCGGGCTGCTCTTGTTGTCATTGCTTCTCCTTGCATCACTACAATGTTTCCCTCCCTGAGGTGCACGTTGATATGATCAGGAGGCGCGTCTAGACTGATGTAGCTACCGGACTTCATATTCACGTAGTTTGAATAGTTAAAGAGGTTGAACCAGGTACCAGATGGGAAATACGCGTTAACTGAAACTTCTCCAGATGTCAGTACTGGTGATATCATTAACCCCTTACCGATGAGAAACTGAGTGTCGATGGCGTAAGTGTTTGTATCCTCGGGAAATGAAAAGAAAAGAGGACGCGCTATAGGGACGCCTTTGGTGTGTGCCTCGAACATTAGCGTGTAGAAGTATGGTAAGAGACGATACCGTAGTCCGAGCACCTTTCTGGCTGTTGCAGCTACTGAATCCCAGATATATAGCTCTTGATGGATAGTGAACTTGTCAGAGTGATCCCTTGCAAAGGGATAAAATGCACCTAGCTACATTCGACGAGATGTTGATTATCAGATATCAGAAAAGCATCATACTTCAATATGAATTTTGAATTGAATAGAAAATTGAAATTTCATTTTCGTAGATCAAAACCTGTGTTACCCCGAATAGAATATAGAAACGGCAATAGAACAATAAACGAGAAGAAAGAGAGATATTATAGATATCTCCACATGACATGTTTAAGCCATACAGACCTTATTTTCTAATACACTTTCACAATCGTATTCTACTAAAAAATCCGAAGACAAAATCTCTAATTAACATATGAACTTCATCTTCTGTATGAGTATTTTAAGGAAAGCACTACAACCAACATATTGCAAAGCATTGTTCATTAATTTGATAACACTACAACAACATACTCAGTGTGACCCCACAAGTGGGGTCTAGAGAGGGTAGTGTGTATGCTATGGAAGGTAGAGAGATTGTTTCCGATAGACCCTCGGTTCAAGTAAAAGCATTTCAAAACAGTTCAGAAAAAAGAAAACAGTGGGAATGAAGAAGCCAGGACAAAATAATAAACAAAGCATGACAGAGCATACTGAAAAAAAGGAAAGTAACTACAATAAAATAATACGATGAATCTACGAGTACTGTTAGCAGAAAACAAGACTCCTTTGACCAGTTGCGCACTCATAATTCGAAAGTCATGGTTGCCGGAAGCAGATCTAGGATTTATATTTAATGAGATAATGATTCTGGGTTTTGGACAGTGACCACAAGTTGATATGCAATAATAACCGACCATATAATGCATGAGTATGAACTATCAATATTAAATAGACTGCCAAGTTTAGCTTAGACATATAATAAGACCGGGCGCTTCTAACTAGTCATGCCTTCTCCGATTTCTTTAATCTTGGCTAATTCAAGTTGATACAAGGCATAGTAAAGAGTTTGAACCAAGATTTCCAATTCGAAGTTTTTTCCTGGAAGTTTCACATTTGAACTTCTTGACTAAAATCATGAACTTTCAATGTATATATGGAGCAAAGTGCTTCTTTAACGACAAAAGAACTTGTACCTGAATCCAACGGCGACATAATTCTTCAGTAGTATTTCTACCAAAGCCACATATATCAGCTCCAACCATGGGAATCCCAAACAATCCAGAATTCAAAATGCCGGGAATACTATAAGCCAAATCATCCCATGTGGCTGCATTGTCTCCAGTCCAATGTGCCGTGTACTTTCCAGCACCCACAAAGGTAGATCTGCTAAGTATAAATGGTCTTTTACCAGTAACATCGATTAAAGCAGCATTGGTAGTTTTAGCTTCCAGGAATCCGTAGAGGTTATGAACATTGTACTCTAAGGCATTCCCGAAATGTACTGATGTTGCTGGGACAGTCTTCTCATTTATTGGACGTAAGCTTCCGGAGTTATTGATCTTATAAGGAGGGTTGTCAAGGGTAGAAGAAGGGCTCGGAGGAGAAGAAATGAAGTTAGATAACTCGTTCATGTCAAGCCAGAGCCCATCGACGGGGAGAAGGTCATGGAAAATCTTGATTTCATTACTCCAGAAGACTCTGCCTTGGGGATTTATGAAATCAGGAAAGTAGACTTTTCCAGGCCAAACTTCGCCGAGATAAGGGACACCATCGCGTTTGATGAAAATGTCTGCTTGCATCCCTCTCTTGTATGTCTCATATGAGCTATTTATGCTGATCCCTGTGAAGTACAAATCATTGAAATCATTTGACCCAATACCTTCGCGATTTCTCAACGTAAGCATAAATTCAACAAAATAAAGTGAAGCCCGATGCACAAAGCATCCCACGTTCATGGAGGGTCTAGGAAAGGCTGCACCATAAGGGGTGTGATGTAGGTAGCCTACCCTGACACTAATTCCACAGACGTATAAATATCAACAAAAGCAAGAAATTAAATATGTTATAACTCATAACTCACCTGGATCCACTATGAGAACAAATTTCTGGCCATTGTGATGAAGTGTATCAACAAATTTCTTCATCTGGTCAAGTGGGAAGTTAATAGGATCGAGTGTGAAATCCTTATAACCATCCATATGATCAATATCTGTCCACATGACCTCAAGAGGGATCTGAGCTTTCGCATAGCCAGCAACCACATTCTTAATTTCAGTAATGTCTTTATAACCATAACGGCATTGGTGAAATCCTGTCGCCAACATTTTGCAATAGCTTGCATGAAAAACAATGTGTGCATCTATCTGTCTCAAATCATACATGTATATATAGTAGAAAGAAAACTCAATCCTCATATTCACAACTAGTAAAAGCTCTACACATCCCATTATGAGTACTGAAAGGGATAGGATCACGAAATGTTATATAACTGAGCTCTGCACTAACAAGTAATTGACACAACTAGAAATTGTGCACATTTTTAAGTACTCCCTCCATTTCAATTTGCTTGTCTGGTTTTGACTGGGCATAGAATTTTAAGAAAGTAATGAAGATTTTTGAATCTTGTGGTCTTAAACTAAAGATATGTAGAATGTACTAGAATGTCTTTTAATCTTGAGGTCTTAAACATGTCATCTGGAGAGTTAGAATTAAGAGTTGCCAAAAAAGGAAAGAGGCAGACTGAAAAGGAAAATAAGACAAACAAATTGAAACGGAGGTAGTAATATTTTAACATCATGAAGAAGCATGTGAATCAAACAGTTTTGAGGAAATTAAGTGGGAAGTACTAAACAAAATTCAAAAGTTAAGGTCATATGAAATTAGTAACCAGAATAAACACTATGAAATAATAGGTAATTCGCTGGTATAATTACGCACCAAAAGACCAGTATGGCATGGGCGCTGGGCGGCCAATGAGCTCTGTGTACTGTTCCATGACTAACTCTGGCACAGGACCAGCAAAGAAGTACAAGTCAATGATCCCACCAATCACCTTGTAAGTAATTCTGTCACCAGCATATACAATGTCCATGCCATTGCTATTGAACAGCAAGACTCCGTGACTAGTCCCCGCGCCAGGATGAGACCTGACATCCATGTAAAAAGGGTGGGAACCATACAAGTTGAGATCAACATTAGCGCTACTAATATCAGAATTCCAAAGAGTCAATGTCTGATTATGCTTGAGCTTAAAATTTCTCTTGGTATGCTCCCCGAGACCATAAATAGATGACCTATTGGCTGGCAATGAAGAGGACAATTGAAGGTACTGATCCTTGAAGATGAGGAACGTGTCCGGAGAGTCATTTTCAGGTGTGGTGTCAAAAAGAACGTCACCTGTGGAGTGACGCGTGATAGTAAAGCCAAAAGGGGTGGTATTGTAGAGAGTGAAAGTAAGGTCCGAAACGGTGTCTGTATGGAAGTAGTGTGTGTCTTCTGATAATGGAAGTGAGGTAGAAGAACGCTTTTCCAAGAGGGAGCTTCGGGGGGATAAATGAGTTTCCCGGGGGATAAATTCTCGAGGAACTTCCCATCTTTCATGATCAGCATCCGTAATTCTGACTCTTAAACGGTCTTTCGTCTCAAAGCTGCAGAATCCATCAACATGGAAACAAGAAAAGGCTGATCAGTCCATTTATAATCTAAAAAGATCTTTTGACACTAAAAAGGACACAACTGTTGAAAATTACGTAG